CAGGGCTGGGGAAGATGATAGTGCATTTCCATGAGGATTGCAAGTGTCTCAGCAGTCATTAGGGAGAGACATGAGAGGACTCTGATAATTGACTTCTGACAGGTTTGAACGTGAGTATGTGCTTGGCAGACAGAAAAGTCATACATACAGTGTCCAGTTAATTTTAATTCCCTTAATTTCATAGATAGCAGGTAAGATTGACAATAGAATTTGGACTAGAAATGGCATGTAAGGTGGATAGCTGGAAACACCTGACCTTGTCATAAGACAATTAAATACACTCTGCTGATTCACTTCAGTTGGTGCTGGTTCCCCTGGCTTAGGCTAAGGGAAGTTGTGCACTTGAGAGGATCTGGGGAAAGGAGTAAGAATTGAGTAAGTGAGAAAGGATAGGACCATGTGCATGTGTTGCTGTTTCAGAAGGCTGGTTTATTAAGTCAGAAAATGATACCATATGTGCCTGACAAACAGCTGTGGCAGTGAGCCATGGTAGTGTGCATTCAGTCATGGACTGGGAGTTCTATTCCCAATCCTATCAGTCTGCTTTTCAGACTCCCTGAGATCTCTGCATCCATATTTCTACCTGGAGACAGAAACTGTAAAGCAAGAGAGAATCCAAATTGCTGCACATTGACTCAGCAAACTCTACAGGTGTCACTGGGAGAGGTGTTGCAGCTGTATTTTGGTGATGATAAAGGTCAGTCTGCACTTCCACAAACATTGCTGTTGCCAGAGATGTGGAACTCAGTTGCAAAAATCTCAGCCTGCACAGAGGTTTGGCACAGGGGTTTTCAGAACATGAACCTGTTTTCTTCAACAAAATGTGCTGAATGTGCCGGAGTGGGAGTTGTTAAGATAACAGCCAATGCAGTAAAACCATGTGTGACTGCAGTTATGTATCAGCTTCACTCACGCCAAACGTTTCCACCTTCTTTCTGTGGAAAGGGAGCAGCAGGGTTTCATGTATGTAGCCAGGGGAAAAGGTTAGCCCAGCTGAGAAATTACTTAATAATGTGTCAGAAGTACTGCATCTTTCTTTTCTGTGTCTTCCAGGGTTTGCAAAGTTCCCTTTTTAAAGACTGTATGTAGCTTTTCCTTCCTTTTGTTTACATGTTTTCACAGAACTCTGGTTGTGTTTTGTTTCTACCCTTTCTAGCTCCCTTCTCGTATTTCCCATAAAACCAAGAAGGATGTGATTGGTTTTGTTTAACAACTTGATCTGGGGCAGATGATGCTGTTGCCAGTATTTCCTGGTTGGCGTGCAATGGAAATCTACCCATGGACTCAGGTTGAAGAGGTTGTGGAAACTATGTTTGCTAGGGAATGCCAGCCCTGTGACTGGCATAGGAATGACACCATGTGCTCCAGGAATACTTTAAAGCAGTATTTTGAACTCTGAAGCCAGTGGATTCAGAAAGGGAGAAGGACAGAGAGGAACTAGTTCAGCTTTTTTCTTTTTCTTTTTGAGCATGCTTTCGAGTTTCCAGTGTTTGGGAGCACAATGTGCCTTGCTTTGGGCAGGATGGGGACACTGTGGCTTGAGTAGCTCTCCTGGGAGAGGAGCATGAAAGGGCCACAGTGGAGTCATGTGCCAGTAGTGGTGTTGCCTCAGTGTGCTCATGGTGTTTCAGAGGCAGCACAGATAGGGTAAACTCTGTCTCCTCTGATACCATAGGGCAGATACACCTCCCTGGTGATGTCCCCACCTGCTGTGTCTGGTGTATGAATTGATGAGAAGGGGAAAGGCTGCTGGGCTAGACTGCAGGCACAGGGAAACTGAGGCCCAGTGGCAGCCTAACACAGGGAAAAGCTGATGCTGTGGGTCTTCCCCCACAAGGACTCATCTTTCAACACTTGCCATCAGCAGAACTTTTCTTTGGGGCCAACTGCTGTAAACAAGTTCCCAAACTTCCAGTTATGTTCTGTCT